TTCCTATGAAATTATATTGTGATAACAAGGCTGCATGTGACAGAGCTTACAATCCTGTTCAACATGACTGAACAAAGCATGTGGAGATTGACAGACATTTTATTAAAGAACAACTAGAAGCAAAGATAATTAAAGTTCCTCATGTTTGATCTCAAGATCAACTTGATGACATTCTCACTAAGACAATATCAAGTAAAGCCTTTCACCAAGTGTTAGACAAGTTAGGCATATAAAATATCTATGCACCAATTTGAGGGGATTGTAATCATCTCAAATTGTAATTATATAACAGATTGTAATCATCTCAGATTATAATTATCTTCTAAAGAGTTGTGATTAAAATTCTTAGTTGTTTGGTTATATTCCATGTCTATTATAACCATATTTATCTCTTATTCTTCAGGAGATAAACTTGTACAAAAGACTATAAAAAACAAACTTGTACAAAAGACTACAAAGAAGCTCTCTGTTCTTGTATTTAGAAGTATGAATGAAAACGTGAAATAGATTGCTTAATTCTATACAAACTAGTACAAGACTAATACAAGTGCTTGTAGTGCTCGTTTGATAATCACCAATTTGATTGTGGTTTTGGCTTTAATTGTAACTGAGACTTTTAATTGTTTGGTAATACTTTAAAAACTAATATCACAACCCCTTCCATGTGTTATTTTCACAGGCCATAATTTGTAGTGTTTCAAAAGCCATATCCAAAGGTACATGTCATAATTTTCCCAAACAGATTCTCAATACACCTTATCCAAATCTAATTCATCAAAACCAATAAATGTCAGCAACATAATCGAGTTTTTGTGGAACTCATATTTAATTTTTTTAAGAAATAACGTGATTAAAAAAATATTTTAAAAAATAACACAATTTAGAGAGTTGTAGGTGATATATGTGATTCACAAGTCATATGTTACTCTCTTTAAATTATGAAATAGCTGGGAAAAATCTAATTTAAGAAGAAAGGAGAGAGAAAAAATAAAGGAAAAAAATCTTAGAGACATTTAGAAGTTTTATGACGACACTACATGTATCACTAAAAAGATCTTAACAAGACGAATCCAATAACAATAAGAAATGTCAATAATGAAGACCAAAATAGGTCACACAAGCTTCTTAAAAGTGACAAGACATACTTGTTTTATGTTGTTAAATTCATCTCATCAAGATTTTTTTTGTTTTTTGTGGTATTATCATAAGAGTTTTGATATACTTTCATGACTTTTCTCTCTCTTCCTCTCCTTAATATAAATTTGTATATACCATTTTATAATTCTAAAAAAGTTCTATGTGATGCTTCCTACTTGAATTGTATGCATCGTACATGACTCCTTCTACTATATTAATTTCTCAAATGTTTTATGGAATGTATTATTTCTTTAATTTTTTTTTCTTGAGTGTGCTAAAGTAAACCGAACCCAGCTCGTTTAAACTAACAAATGTCGGCAGTATAATCATAAAAAAAATGACTAAGAAAAGTACTAGCTGGATGTAGCCACCGTGGTAATTTTCAGTTTGTGAGAGGGCTGGAGAATCTTTGGTAGCCCGACAATTGAAAAGTAACGTACATTTATAATTTTTGTCGCTTATGTAACCAACAAAAGCCTATTTTCTTCCTCTGGGCCAGCCAGATCACCATTGTTATATTGTTGTAATGAACTTTGTCATTTCTCATGACTCATTATTTCCACTGCTTCAAAAACTTGCTTAAACCTCAATAATTTGTGGGGAAGGGGAAGGAATCGTAGCCCCACCCAATCATACACTCTATCAATGACTTCCTTTTCTTGCATATCCTCCATATATATAAACTATAAAATATTGGGGCGCACTACTACGGGTTTCAAAATTTCTTTCTAGCAACCTCTCTTCAAAAAGGGTTTATTAATAATTATAAATATCTTCATATCTACAATAAAACGTCATTTCGCTGCAACAACAATGGAAGGAGTTGGGAGTAGAGAATATAGAAAAGGGCTGTGGACAGTGGAGGAAGATAGAATCTTGATGGATTACGTAAAGGTGCATGGCAAAGGAAAGTGGAATCGGGCAGCAGAAGTCACAGGTTAGCATTTCTTTTTTACCTTTCCATGTAGAAGGGATTGATGTTAGTTTTAGAGCCCGTGGTGTTTTTTTATCAGCTAAAAGATTTGAATGCTGTGTTTTAGGCCTCAAGAGAGGTGGCAAAAGCTGCAGGTTAAGATGGATGAATTATCTTAGCCCTAGTGTTAAGCGCGGGGCTTTCTCAGAGGAAGAGGATGACCTTATCATCCGGCTCCATAAGCTTCTTGGCAATAGGTTTCTCTTCATCTCGTATTCACGTTATATAATTTTGAGTTAGCAGGCATCTTATTCTTTTTTCCTAGATATAACATAATAATTAAGTCTTAAAAAATGCGTGGTAAATTTTAATAAATTGATTATTTGATTAATTTATTAATAAAGTTGGTGAATGTACATGATTGATCGTCACTGAGGAGACAATGATACTATTGTTTCTTAATGATACTATCATCAGCAACTCTTTTGTACTCGTTAAACTTAGAGCTAGTTTCTGGGCTTCGTTGTTTGTTATTGAATATACCAAACGTATGTTCTTATAATCTCAATTATTTTTTTTAGGTGGTCTCTAATTGCTGGTCGGATTCCAGGAAGAACAGATAATCAAGTGAAGAATCATTGGAACACTCATTTGAGCATAAAACTAGGGGTTAAGAAGGGAAAATCTAAAATTAGCTCATCTAAATTCTCCAAAAAAATAGAGGCGAATTTCTATACTAAATTAAGTTCAAATGAGAGGTTAATTCCTAGTAATAAGACTAATGTGATAGAACATAGTCATGAAAAGGAAACAGAAATCACTAGCACGCAAGAGCCAATATTGACGAGTGATTGCTATGAGAATTTCTGGCTTTTTAATGATGATTCATATCTACATACTCCTAGTTTAATGGAACTTTTAGACCAGTCTCTTGAAACTTTTATGGCATGACTTGTAAATTAAGCGCCATTTTGTATCTCAACATTTTTTTTAATGAATAATTACTTTCCTTTTGTTTTTGTTTTCTTTTTGCCTGTAAATTAACATGTGCACGCACGTGTTCACAAATGTGATATCCTTAAATGTGGCTCAGGATTTTCAGCAAATCATTCCAATATTTATATACTTTCAACAAACATACAAATGTAAAAGTGAATGCAACCCTTTTTTTTAGCTACCCATCATAGTATTTGATTATTGTCCTGATATAGAACATATAAAATCAATATCATAACTTGATTTTGAATTTATTTTTTTCAAGATTTTCCATTAAAAAACAAAAAAATCAAAGAAATATGTTTTTGATGTATTTTGGTTGTTCACACGTCTATTTTGTGATTTTCAATTAATTTTCTCTTATTGATATTTGTTTTTTTAAAATTAAATTCAAGAAAATCCAAAAAAAGAAAAAAGAGAGAGATAATAAAGGTGATAAGTGGGAGAAGTTATTGTTTTTATATGGAGAAGAAAGCTAATATGCCCCTCCCCGTACAAAATCCCAGGCAAAGAAAATAGATATTTTATCAAACTAGCATAGTTTGACAAAAAATTATGTGAAATAATGTATTTTTGACTCAATCATAATTGAAAAATATGATTTTATTTGTCGCATTCTTTCAAGCGGGACACGGTGTCGTGACAATCCTCGATTGATTTCAGGGTTTTTGTTTTGATTCGTGAATAAAGAAGTCTCTACCTAATATTATAGTAACTAGAAATCTTAACTTGTCTTTCAGATATTCCAAGGCAAGGAACTAGTTGTATAAAAAGAAGTTATTAATACCCCTAGTACGCTCTATAATTGCTATGGTGTTGGTGTTCTTTTAATTAGTTTTTCTAGGATAGGTTTGCTATGATGAATGATTTGGGTTAAAAGTCTAAAAGCAATAATGCTTGGCTAATATAGATCATACCTTTAATTATGTCTACAAAGTTTCAAAGGAAACCAATACAAATCTCTTGAAACCTATGTTTGATTCAGACTAAATTTATTAAGATAGAAATCCAAGGAGATTCAATGTGCTTTAAAAGCACATTTTTTCTTTGGTATTTCAATTGTTTGCAACTCGTAAATCGTAAGAAGGAGGAACAAAAATTTAGAAATCTAAGGAAATTCAGAGTGTTTCATACTTTCCTAAGGAAATTCAGAGTGCTTTAAAAGCCTCATTTTGCCTCAGTGTTTCATACTCGTAAACTGTGGAGTCAAAAATTGAAATATTCTTAATTATAATCAAGGCTTCTTTCAAAGCTGTATGATGACATATTATTCTTAGAAAATTATTTTGGATATTTACCACTAAAGGTTTTTTTATTCAAATATTAACAGTAAATAATAACAAATTATTCCCAATAATATTTTAGATATTCATCCCTTTGAGATTTTTTTATCCAAACATTAATAGTGAATACTAGATGATTTCTTCAAAAAATAAGATTTTTATATTTTTTAAAATATTAGCCAATACCCTTTAGAGTTTTACAAACATGTTGTAAAATCCAGAAATACAAGAAAATAATTTTTGTGTTTAAAAAATCCATGTAAAAATATATTTTTTAAAACTTCTAATATTTTTTTATATATAAAAAAACATTCAGAACATATTAGGATATTGATCATATAACAATATTTTTTTATATATAAAAAAACATTCAAAACACATGAGAATATTAATCATACAATACATAAAAAAACATTTTTTATATTTTCTTTATAAAAAATACAAACATCACATTTAACCATAATTGAAGTCAACAATCTATATATTAGTGAAATTCTTAAGGTTTTAATAAATTAATGATTAAATTCTAAAAAATATATAAAAATATATTTTTATATTTTTTATAGAAATACAACATGATTTTATTTATTCTTGATATATTTGATTATATACAAATTAAAACACTTTCTTTCTTTTTTTATTTTTTTTTAACATTTACAAGAAAAACACATTTTTTTATGATGTTTTTCTGCAGCACTCACATTTACATATTACCAATCACCAAAATTTAAAATAAAACAAATAATACATCTTACAAATAAAATTACATGATAGCTCCTAAAACTCCTGGGAACTACTGGGAAAGGTTCTAGACCACAAAACAGTGGCGGTGTGTCTGATACACTCGTCACTGCCACTGACGGCGCGTGGGTTCATGGGCGGCCAGCAAAAAAACGACAGGGGAGATCTGCAATGGATTCCTCCCTTCTTCATTGTGCTGCCGGCGATGGCTTTCACTGTGACCTGCAACAAGGAAAAAAAACACAGGCAGTTGATTTTAAATCATTCCTTTCCTTTTCAAATATGCTTTTGATCTTTCCTTTTTTTAGATTTGTTTCTTCTATAGATCTCTCTTTTTCTTTGTTTCACCTTCTTCTTTGTTTCAGGTGGCCAGGGGAAAGGAGGAATGACCGAAAAGGGGGCATCGCTGCTGGGGAAAGGAACAATAGTGAATGGCCTTGCTGTTGCTTGTTTGTGGCTGTTACTGTTGAGGAGACCGAAAGGGAAGAAAACGCTACTGGTGGTTTTGTTTCGGGTTATGAGACAAAGAGATCGAGGAAGATGGAGAGCCGGTCGTGGTTGGCGGGTCTTTTTGGTCTTGGTGAGCTAAGAGAGGAAAGGTTGGTGTTGTGGTAGGGTTGTTCGGGTGACTGGGTTCTGTAGGGGAAGGAGAGGTGAGGGAGGAGATCAAGTTTTGGCTGGCTGAGAGAGAAGATTGCTGATCTATGGTCGACTGAAGGGGGAAACCGAGAATTCTCAAAGACCAAAGCAGGGGTTTCTCTGGTTTGGTTAAAAGGAGGAGATCCCGTGAGGGAGAGTAAGCCAGATGAAGGAGAGGGGCTAGTCTCCGTGTTAGAAAAAATCAAAGGCCAAGGGTCGGGGCACGACTGGTTTTGGACGGAAAAAAATATTACATTTAAGTTTTCTTTTTTGATTGCCCTAAATTTCTCGCTTTTAAATTTTTCTGTGTAAATTTTCTCCCCCCACCATGCATATGGCTAGATGTTCATTAATATAAAAAAATTTATATATGTTCTATGTAAGAAAATATTACAATAATTATTGCAAAAATTACTTTTTATAACTAGCACCAACAAATATATGATATTTTTTTATTGCAATAATTATTTTTTATAATTAACACGAATCAAATTATATTTATGATATTTTATATTATAGTAATTATATATGATTTAGTGATTATCTACTTGATATATTGCTACTTTAATCCTGATATTCTATGTTATTGTCACATGTAAATCTTTAGTTTCTTTTTTATTTTTTATAAAAAAAATTATCCAAACATGAGTTAAAAATTGGGTAGCAATATTATTAACAATCATTAATGATAATAATAATTGTAAACAACAATGATTTTCAAAACATGATTTTATTAACAATCATTAATGGTAATAACGGTTGTAAACAACCATGATTTTCATCAATATTTTACTAAACAATTGCTATTATCATTTGTAGTCGTTTAGAGTCGTTAAGCAACCGTAATTAAGAACAATAGTTTTGCCCCAAACTTAGTTTCAATGTTGAACTAAGTTTAAAGCACAACAACTAAAAGCCGAACAAGACCTATAAATTAGCAAAAACCTGAGATGCATAATTCAAAGTGTAATATTTTAATATTATTTTTATTTGTTAATTATAATGTCAAATTAATACTTGTGTTTTTTAAACATTATTTTTATTTTTTTTAATTTTTATGTTGTTAATGAATGATTTGAAATTTTAAACAAATTGTTCACATGTTCATATGATTTTTAATGATATTAAATCATGCTTATATAAATAAAGTATGAAAATGCATAATATACAAGACAACTTTAAAATCAACATGACAATCTGTAAAAACAATATCACAAAACTACTAATAATAAAAATAACTCTTAACTAGAAAAATAACACAACAATAAAAGTTCATAGGTTTGAAAAATAACACAACAATAAAAGTTCATAGGCCTGCAACTTTTATAGGAGTCTAAGATTTAAAAAGGTTATTTTCAAGTTCAAATTATAGCAACAACAAAGAAGTCTGAATCTGTCCTATAGTTTGCGTAGTGTTCAGTGTTTGACCTATATCTGGAGTTTTAAAAGTCCAAATGAACTCTACTTTTTTTCTTTTGGAAATCTGAGATAATTTCCTACAACTTTCATGTTTTTAAGTGGTTCTAATTCTGACGTTATCAATGATGTTTTAGGCAGATAAGAGAACATAAGAATTGTCACCAAGTCAAGAGTTGGTCACCCACTCATCAATTAGTCATTAAATCAATAGTTCCCAATATTAACCTATAAAAAGAGTCATTTCTCATGCATTTAGACATCTTGATCTCCAGATCATGCTCTTGCTTTCTCTCTTTGTATTATTGTAATATTTATGTTTTGCTTTTATGAATATCAAGTTTATGTCTTTCATTTCATTTTTTTTACTTAGTTAACTTTTATCTTATTTATGTTCTTATTTTTTTTATTTTTCTTTCTTTCATTATGTTTAGTTAAGTTTATTATGTCAAAATGAAAAGGCGATACTAATGGTGTAAGAATAAGTATAATGTAAACTTAACATGGACTTTAACATTTGATACTAACATGTTTTATATTTGTTATCTTATTAACTCTTTAATACTTTGCTTATTAAATGACTAATCTAGATTTATGTTGTATAACACTTGGTACAACAAATGCTTAGCACTTTCATAGCACAAACTATATGGTATAACCGACACCTTTGCTATGAAAGGAATTTGATTTGTTCTTAACATAAGTTATAATCATGAATACCTTACAATATTTACAAATATTAGCATTATTCGAATAAGATAACTAATGTAATCATGTTAATAATTTATAATCTGATTGGAACCTTCTTTATGTGTGGTTTCCATTTGAGTAATAAGAGTTTATACTATACTTGTTTGAAATACCATTAGTGGATCCTCTAACCTTGACATTTGTTGTTATCATTGTTTAATCATTACGTTGATCTTCCATCTCAAAATTCTCATCAACTTCTTCTATTATTATTATAATTACTACTACTACTACTACTACTACTACTACTACTAGTACTACTATTACTATTACATTATTATTAGTCTTAGTATTACTATAATCATCATCATCATCATCCTTGTTATTGTTGTTATAGTATTGCTGTTATTTATAATTTATATAATTAACCTACCTGTGGTTTGATCCCGGTCTTGTTGAATTATTTATTACTTCAACACTCCTGCACTTTGGAGAAGACATTAATCTTTTGGTTATATCAATTATTATAAGAGGAACTTGATTTGTTGTCAACATAAGTTAGCATCATGAATACTTGATAAAATTTGTAAGTATGGTGTTACGTAAATAAAATAACTAATATGTTCATGTTGATAATTTATAAAGAGTTTATATTATACTTATCTTTACATTATTAGTGGATCCTCTAATCTTGATATTTGTTTTTATCATTTTATAATCTTCACATTAATATTACATTTCAAAGTCCTCTTTAACTCATTATCACCACCACCATCATGATTATTGTTGTTGTTGTTATTTATAATTTATATAGTTAACTTCCCTATTGTTCAACCTCAATCTTGCTGGGTTATTTATTACTTTGATATTTCTGCACCTAGGATAAAATATCAACTTTTTGATCGTGTCATAAGTCTGACAGTGAATTGGTCACGTCACTATACAGATATCCTAATTTGAATCCCTTAGTAAGTTTGTCGGTAAAATCGTCTGTAAAAACTTCGATGTCATCAACCACCTTTTTTTTCTTCCAAATTCTATCTATAATTTTGTTGGTATATACCAACTGAATTGTAGATGGAATAGTGACTATCGGTAATTGTCATTGCAATTTAGTGATAGAATTATTGCATCTGTAATTCTATTGGTTTTAAGTGAATTTATGATAGTAAAAAGGTTTTTACTAGAGTTAACTTAAATAGTTCAACACACATCTATACTATGGTGTCTTTAAAGAGAATGTTGATAGCACTTTCATCATCTACCAATACTTGTGTACCTTATTATTGGACATGAATATAGTAAATAACAAGGCATTCTTATGGAGGAAAGTCATTCCTTTCCTATCATCTAGAGTAAATATAATAAGTTCATGACAAAGGTTTAAGAGTCACACAAACAAAATCCATTTTTCATAACTTTTTTGTCTCCTACTATAATCTCTTCCTATGAATTTTCTATTAGGATTATGTTAATATTTAGTAATGAATTATAAATAGTATCAGCCTTTTCTCTTTGCTTTTCATCCTCTACTCATTTCCTAACAAATTATTAGAGATATCCTTTGACAATTACTCATTTCCTAACAAATTATTAGAGATACCTTTTGACAATGAGTCTCTTTATCTTTTCTTTTTTTTTGTAGACATAAAGTTCCTTTATATCATATCTCTTATCTTTGTGGAAAAGATAATTTTTAGATTGTGATTACCAATATCTTCTTTCATTAGTGATGGATATTATATAAACTATTTCATTTTAATATCTACTAACACTTTAGTGCTGATGGTGTTTAAAAAAGTTGTCATCAACTTAAGGTATTTAAGCTTATCTTGCACTAGTCTCGTTGGGTTACTTCTGAATGTCTAAAAGTCATGAAGAGTTAACCAATATTTTGAAAATTCTCCTATTTTTTTTTTATAAAAATATGGATGCTTTTATCTTGCCTCATTTATTTTTTCTACCCATATATGGCTTTTTATAACTTTATTTTAATTTGAGGAAAGTTCTTGTTATAACCCAATTCTGGGTTATTCCCTAATTTTGATCCATATTTTGATAAATTTTTAGAAAAAAATCCAAAAAATAGAGAAAAATAATGAAAATCCAAAAAAATACATTTTTAAATATATTTGCATCATTTTAAAATCAAAGATATTTGGAACGCGTTCAACTTTTAACGTGTTATTTTTAAAATCATTGATTTTCCTCATTGAGTAGATGTTGATATTGCTTGTTTAAAAAAAAATTACAAAAAATAAAATAAAAATTAAAATTTACAAAAAAATAAAATTGAGGGACCAATTTTGAAATCCAAGTAACACATTTTGCCTGTAAATAGCAATTTTTAACACAAAGAAAAAGGGGGGGCAATTTTAACAAAAAAAGAAGGAAAAACCCTAAACCTAAATTTCTTCTCCTTCATCCAAAGTCGCCGCCCCCCTCTCTGCTTGAATTTTCTCCCTCAAACAGCAGCCCCTCAGCCATCTCTCTTCCTTCACCCTATCGGACCCAGCCAATAAAAAAGGGCCATCGTCCATATTCATTTCCCCCCCTCAGACCGACCTCAATTGTTTCCCCATTTTCCTTCACATTTTCCCTTCCTCGTTTTCAATTTTTTTCCCTTTTTACTTCGGACCATTCCTCTCATAGCCTCCCTTTCAACTACTCCCTCTGCTCTTTGCAGCTCCTGTAGAAACTAGAGTCGTTCCCCTTCGCTCTCTCTTCTTGCCGGCGGCCATCATAGGCTGCTACCACCAACAAGGGTGAGGACTATCCAGCAGCAGCGCTGTTCTTCTCCTCTCTCAGCCGACCCATCGGCCTCCCTCTACGGGTCAGCGAACAGACCCAACCACTACATCCAGTCAGACCCACATATCTTCCCCCTTCCACCAGCAGCAGGCCAGGGTCTCCCTCATCAGCACAGACGCGACAAAGCTTCCCCAGTGGTGGCTGGACAGCAACCTCTTTGTCTCCTTCAACCAGCATCGCCGACCGGTCAACTGCCTCCCCTCTCCACCGCAGCTCCAACAGTCACAAGCGACACCCACGACACTCGAAGCAGAGGAGAAGGACATGAAGACCGGAGAAAGAAGAAAATGAAGCAAATAAGGACGGAATGCAGAGGAAAACAGATCTGAAAAATTAACTAAAACCAACTGTTTTTTGTGCGTTTTTCTTGTTGTTGCAGGTGACGGTGACCTTCATCGCCGGTGTAGGAAGACAGA